GTCGACTGACAAATGAATTTTAAGAGCAGCCCAGCAGAGAAGGGAGGGAGGAAGGGATAGAATAGATAGATAGAAAATACATTGTTTGAACTTTATCTCTAGGAGAAGTTTTTGGGATTTTTTGGAAGTGGCCATTTCTTCTTTAAAATGTGTGTATCATTCATATACATATTTCTTCATTTTTGGGTGCCATCAGCTATGTTCATTTTGATTTAGCATTAGCAATACTCTCAAAAGTCAAAAGTTCCTTTATGACAATGGAACTCTCAAATCAAGAGAGGCAGCGCATCTGAAAGGTTGGGAACACACTTACTGCATAGACTTTAATACCTTGTCTTCTTCTTTCCTGATTACAGTTTAAAAAAGGCAGAAATTTCTCTGATGAAGAGTATTCTGGCAATCCACACTTGTCACCAGTAGGGAACACAAGATTGAAGTAAGCTTTATAGTAAATATGTACATCTTCCCAACAGTTAATACTAATGCTAGGATATGGACTAAATTTGTGCCCACTAGAACTTTATGGGGTTAAAACAGTAAATGAGACCTGATCTAATTAGTAGTGTGTAAGGTGATTATAAGTGACCCCTTTCCCACCTATTTCACTGAAATGTAAGAGGTGGATATTCAGGAGCACAGGAAGAAAGAAGATGGAAAAGGTGATTGGAGAGTGGCAAGGAGCAAGACAATGCACAAAAGCTGGAAGGAAGATGAGGAGTACAATGCCTTATTGGGAATTAGAATGATCAGCCTAACTGAAAAAGCAAAGAGCAAGGAAAGAACAGAGTTTACTGTCTGCTGTGTCTTTTCTCCTAGAACACTAACAGTAAACTCAGCCTGTGATCTAAAGGTCAAGCTGTAAGTTTTCTGCTTGATACAGATACGCCATCACTGGTAATAAAGATTCTGTGGACTAAATTCAGTCCTCGGTTACATCTGTGCCTCCATCACTCAATTCAGTGTCAGGTTTAGACGAAGGCAGAACTTGGCCTTGATGATGTGCACACCAGGATGGAATCTAGCACCCTCTCTCATAACTATGTTGCCTCTGCAAAGCAAACAAAGTAGTGCATAAAAGTAGGGGAAATTTATCTTTGCAGACATGGCTTTCAATACACTGAAGAAATAAGGGGGCCATTTGTACATAGTTATTTTTTATGACCGTAACTTCACTTTGAGTATCACTGATTGTCCTGCTAAGTGCCAGCTTCAACAAAAAAATCCCACTCTATAGTTGCCAGTAGGTGGAAATGTTTTCTGACTGCCAGGCCTGTCAACTTGCTGCACTCGACTTGCTGCACTCTCTCTTTCCTGCATATCACCAGTAATGAAGATTCTGCAATCCAAAGTATGCCCTCAGTGACATTTCTGGAAATCCATGGCCTTTGGGGATTTACAGTACACAGATATGACTGACTGGCCTTGTAAGTGCAACTTAGAAAATCATGTGGTTGATGAGACAACACAAGGAAAAGAATCCAGCTCTGTCTCTCTTAGGTATGTTGGCTCTGTGGTGCTAACAAGAGTAATATAGAGTAAAAACATATTGTGATCACTGCAGTAAGCCAACGTGACACAATACACACAGGAAATAGCTCTGCTGCACTTTAAGGGATTTAGATCCACCAAAATGTCAGGCCTTCCCCCAAAGTTTAAGGGACACTTACTGGTCAAACAGACATTTTCCTGGTATAGCCTATTTACTGCCTGTCATAAATATAAAGGGAAGGGTAAACCCCTTTGAAATCCCTCCTGGCCAGGGGAAAGCTCCTCTCACCTGTAAAGGGTTAAGAAGCTAAAGGTAACCTCGCTGGCACCTGACCAAAATGACCAATGAGGAGACAAGATACTTTCAAAAGCTGGGAGGAGGGAGAGAAACAAAGGGTCTGTGTGTCTGTCTATATGCTGGTCTTTGTCGGGGATAGACCAGGAATGGAGTCTTAGAACTTTTAGTAAGTAATCTAGCTAGGTATGTGTTAGATTATGATTTCTTTAAATGGCTGAGAAAAGCATTGTGCTGAATAGAATAACTATTTCTGTCTGTGTATCTTTTTTGTAACTTAAGGTTTTGCCTAGAGGGGTTCTCTATGTTTTTTAATCTAATTACCCTGTAAGATATCTACCATCCTGATTTTACAGGGGGGATTTCTTTATTTCTATTTACTTCTATTTTTTATTAAAAGTCTTCTTGTAAAAAACTGAATGCTTTTTCATTATTCTCAGATCCAAGGGTTTGGGTCTGTGGTCACCTATGCAAATTGGTGAGGCTTTTTATCCAACATTTCCCAGGAAAGGGGGGGTGCAAGTGTTGGGAGGATTGTTCATTGTTCTTAAGATCCAAGGGTCTGGGTCTGTAGTCACCTAGGCAAATTGGTGAGGCTTTTTACCAAACCTTGTCCAGGAAGTGGGGTGCAGGGTTTTGGGAAGTATTTTGGGGGGAAAGACGCGTCCAAACAGCTCTTCCCCAGTAACCAGTATTAGTTTGGTGGTGGTAGCGGCCAGTCCAAGGACAACGGGGGGGAATATTTTGTACCTTGGGGAAGTTTTGACCTAAGCTGGTAAAGATAAGCTTAGGAGGTTTTTTTCATGCAGGTCCCCACATCTGTACCCTAGAGTTCAGAGTGGGGGAGGAACCTTGACACTGCCTGATTCTCTTTTTTCAACCTCAGTTTTCTCCCTGCTCCATTTTCCCTGCTCCCATGATGAGAATAATTGGATCTGTGAGTCCTCATGGAGGAAGGAAAGAAGGGAATGGGGGTGAGGAACTGAGTAGGGCTGAATGAGTGATTCTTTATAACTGAGTTAAAAGCCAGCACCTCTCAGCTGTTTCTCCCTGTTTCATTTAATAAAAAGCTTTGGCTATTCATTTACTTTCCTTGTGCAATATATATATTAAGCATTTCAAATAACTATATTGAAAGGTTGTCTGGTTTCACAGTAGTATCTGCAAGCACCTCTCTAGAAAAAATCATTATTTTGTGATTTCACATCACTTCTTGGAGAGATCCCTACAGCAACAGTACATTAGAAGAACTATTCTTCCTTTCTCCAGTGGCAAAAGGCAAACCTGCATCATAAAAGGCCATGCAGCTGGATGATGATGATGATGATGATGGGCGATCACTCGTTACCGAGTATGATCATCTTCCGTGGGAGTTATGGGTCCTCAGGTGGCTAATAAGGTCAATCCTTGAACCACAAGTTCTATTACGATGAGGGCAGATTATTTCAGGCTCAGCAGGAGGCTGTTGACCATGACTGGAGACCAGTCTCTCCTTCCTCCTGCACCTCTTGTCCTCTTCGGCTTGTCGGCGAGCAAGTCCAAAATGCAGGGGACCATCATGTAGGACTTCACTCCATTTTAAGCGATCCTGTGCAAGTGTCTCTCAAATATCAATGTCAATATTACATTTTTTTAGGTTGTCCTTCAGCAAGTCCTTATAACGTTTCCGTTGTCCACCCATGTTACGGTACCCTTCTTTCAGCGGAGAGAACAGGACCTGTTTTGGGAGGCGATGGTCTGGCATCCAGCAAGACTAACCCCCTCCCCATGTTGGGTGAGCAGAGTGGATCCTTAAAGGGACTGTTCAGTCGTGGGTGCAGCTGCCAAGATGCTCGAACGGCCTCAATCCTCAGGCAAGACACCTATCACACACCCACCGCCTGCGTGTCGGTCTTTGACTAGGAACTTCCGGATTTCACTGTCCTGTTCCCACCGCCACTTGCCAATCACCACCAGACTTTTGACTTGTGCAAATGTTATTTTCCCAAAAACTGGAAGATGCCTGTGTGGGACTTCTTTTAAAGTGGGGAGACTGGTGCACAACAGTCACCACACTACCCTTGACAGATAGAGGACTTGAAACCAATGGCATGGACACCATGATGATTGGAAATCCTCAGTTTGCTGCAGTCTTCATCCACCTTCACAGCCGTTGTAACATTACATAACAGCTGTATACCAGGACTCTAGCCTTCCCTATGCTAAGACTAAGGTTATGTCTACACTACTGCGGGATCGATGCTGTTGCAATCAATGCACCGGGGGTCGATTTAGCGGATCTAGTGAACACCCACTAAATCGATGGCAGAGTGCTCTCTGGTCGACTCTGGTACTCCACCGGGAATGAGAGGAGTAAGGTAAGTCAATGGGAGAGTGTCTCCCGTCAACCCAGTGCGGAGCAGTCACCGCAGTAAATCAACCTAAGCTATGTCGACTCCAGCTACATTAGTGATGTAGCTGGAGTCACGTAACTTAGTGTAGACATAGCCTAACACTTAAAGCATTAGACCTAAAAACCATTGGGAGATAAAAGTTTCAAGGGAGATATCTCTTCCTCTGTGTGAGATTCCTGCCTTTAGCTTTTAGACATTTAGACTGCAGTGCTGGTATAATCCAGGTCTGCAAGCTACTGGCATCTGAAAATCCACACAGGGTGTGTGGGAGGATGAGAGCACAGCAATGAAACAGGAGGGTGTGTTACCAGAGCATCTGTAAAATATACTGATTGAGCACATCTCCGCAAAAGCATTTTCTGGCCAGGTTCCTATTGCACTGTGGCCCAATTAAAGTTACTGTTTCCTGGTAGAACTCCCAGGGGAGGGCTCTGGGTTTGTAGCTACCCTTTCTAGAGAATACATGTACCTCTCTCACCAGGAGGGTAAATCCAGTCCTCTGTGATCCCTGTGTTCAGGTACAGTTAACAGATCACGGTCCTTGGTTATTTCAGATGAAGCCCAGGCCTTTCCCACTGCCAAGCAAGGAGATGTGAGCCTTGTTTTGAAAAGAAGTACATTTCAGAAACAAAGACAATATCAACAGTAACTTGATTTGGTTTTCTTTTCCTACATTCTGTGTGGACAAAATAAAACTGGGTTTGGGTGGGAAAGTAGGATTGGTTGTTTGTTTTGCCTTTACAAGGGCTATTTTTGTATTTTATTTATTTTGCAAGTGATAGAAAAACACCAATATTCTTTGCAGAAGTGTTTAGTTTATTTTATAAAGTCTTTGCTTTGTAGGGTAGTACAGCAGAACCAATAATTATTCAGAGCTGATAACTACTACCATTCCCATTAGCAATTATTTTACTTGAAATGCTCACTGCAAGTAGGAAAAGTAAAGACAGAGTAAGTGACAGTCCAGGTAATATTTGCTTCGATTTGCACATATTTAAAAATTCACATAATTCTATACTCTTCATTGCATTATGAAATTTCTTATTCTACTGGTTTCTTCTTTTTCTCTTTCTCTTGCTAGTCCATCAACTTTATCTGAAGCACTTTCTTGTTTGAAATAAATAGTGGGGTGGAAAAACATATAATAAACAATAAGACAAATAATACCTAACACCAGAGTGAGAAAAACTGTGATGCTCACAAATGTAAAATATAATTGCTCAGTAACTGAAGTCTTCCAGAACAAACACATTATGCCTGAAGTTACAAGCACATGAGTGGCATAATAACTAGAAATATGTATTTTTGTTTGTTCCCCCTTGACATTAAAAAATGTAAAAATAAGAATGATCCCAACAACAGTCCTGTATAAAAATTCCATCCTCTTAGATTTGCAAAACATAGTGTGTTGCTTCAAAGTCCAGCTGAAGCCCAAGGTCCAAAGAAATATTAGCAGAAATATACTACTTATGATATTTAATAGGGTGGCCAGTGCAATACTCAGTATCCAAGAAGTCAGTGTGAACAGTTTATACAAGAGATACAGTAACTTAGGAGGCACCCCAGCAAATTGATTTTTATCAGGCAGAGATTTTCGTAATGATATCTGATAGTCAAGTGTTGACCAGGAAATGCTGCAGAAAGATGTGATGATGGAAGCATCTAAATAAAACACAAGGATAGATGTTAGTTCCATGGAAAAACTTAATATATTTTTACTTAAACATTCTTTATATCTGAGAGGAAGAATGGTCCTGTTGTTGGGGCACTTGTGAGTCCCAGGTTCAATTCCTTACTCCTCCACTAATTTCTGTGTGACCTTGGGCAAGTTACTTAGCCTTTTATGTTCCTCAGTTCCCCATCTGTAAAATGGGGATAATAGCACTGCCCTACATCACAGAGGTGTTGTGAGGAGGAATATATTAAAGACTGTGAGGAGCTCAGTAATGGGAGCCATAGAAGTACCTTAGATATCTACCTATTCAATAAGTGAAAACAAAATAGACTACTCTGAAATGATTCAGTTGGTTACATCCATTAGCTTTCACTTATCAAACACAATACAATGTTATTCTTAAATATTATTATTACATATTACAGTGTAACTTTTCCCAGAGTTTAGTAAAATAGATAACCTAATAGAGGAAGTTTTAAACTAAATGTTAAATAAAATTGTACTGGGATATGACAGAGAATACTTTAAAGTTTTACCTGATACTAGGGATTGCCTTCTTAGTGGAGATTTAACTATATTCAACTTTCAAATGAGAGAGACTTACACTGACTGAAGGCAGCCTTGTCATGCTCCATCAGGATGTAAATCTGAAGAATGAGCTGGGGTGTCGTCTTCAGGAAAGTCTTAAATACCCTGAGCATACTAATATCAGCCAATGCATCAATGGCACGTTTATGAATGATACTGGCAGGGCCCCCAGTAAGTTCATCTCCAGAGCTGTTTTGTTTAAAAGCAGCCTGGTAGCCACGTTTCAATGCAAACCAATACCTACAAAGAGAAATATATATATAAAAACTTGGTTAGACAGAGTTTTTTTTAAAGCACTGTTCTACAAAATAGTGAAAACTAGTTAAGATTTTAGCCATTTTGTTCTCAGTTCAAAGTATCATTATTTGTTTTTAATTCTCTTTGAATGGGAAACTTTACTTCTTACTAATGCAAAATGCACATTGAGGTTAATGTTAGTAATGGGTGCAATCAAAGAAACTAAATTGAATGGAATGAGATTGGCCTGAGTAAAGACCATAGGATTGAGTTAATTAACTTTAATTTCTTTAAACAGGATATATTTCTGAATCTCCCCTTTGCCGCCTCCTTGTCCCCTTCGCTTTAGGATGACACTTTCATTTTTCATGCACCCAGATCCCTAGATGTACACACGCAAACTGGAGATTGTGCATACATGAAACTATGTGTGTATGCATGTATCCCCTAACATGCACATCAGCTGACTTGCACATCTACATCAAATTTGCGCATTCTTTTGTGGGTTCATTTTTTTAAATGTAGCCCTAATTCTTTAAGCTGTTTCTTTTCTAAGGAACCCAAGAGACTTTCAATACAGAAAATAACTCTCAGGACACACATATTTCATACAATGATATGATCTGGATGGTGTCATATGATAAATCAGATTCTTTGTCAGATATTGAGGGCGTATAAATGACCTCTCAAAACACTTCTATTTTGTCCTTAAGGCTATATAATCATTTCCTTTGAAAGAAAACTAAATGGAATGATACATTATACTGGAGCTAGTGAATCATGACAGATTTACTTCCTGCCTTGTGAAGTACCTTTTCTGTTCAAGATATCTGTATTGCCATGTGGGAGACCTATGTTTAATTCCCAGTACCAAGTCATTTGTTTTTCAGTCCTAGAGGAGTTGGCAGGGCTGTGGAAATAGAGTGCTTAGCTTTAGCCCCTTGAGGGGAGGGAATACTAAACTCTAGTCAAAAGAGACACCATTTGGACATTTAAGGAAGCAACTGTGATCATCTGCACACAGAAATCTATTCAGTCCTCCTTGGGGAAAAAAATGATAGCTGCAAGCAGATGTAGGACCAGATCCACAGCTGGTGTAAATCAGTGTAGATCCTTTGATGTCAGGAGTTACACCTGTGCTACCTAAGGATCTGGCTCATTGCCTCCAAAGTGGAAGTTTAAAGTAGGGTGAGGAAAGCCCTGCAGATAGTAGGTATGGTGAGCCAAGTCTAAAAGAACAGGCTCTAAGGGATAATTACATCATTTATTTCCTGTGGAATTGTTTAGCAATAAACAAAGAGTCTTTCAGAACCAGTTAGCAATGAACATACAAGAAAGAAAATCTCCTAATAAGTATCCATGAAGGCCTCACCCCGTCATCTTTCAAGGCAAAGTAACAATCTCTTCCACTGAGTGCTTGCCCAGTCTCTGCTTTTAAGTGATTCATAAACATCTGGTGTGCAAATTGTCTGCTGAAGAGAGACCATTCAGTTATCATTGATTCCACTTTCAAATCCCTGGAACTTCCACTAGCCTTGTCCAGAGAACCGATTCTAACTCCACCATTGGCAAAACAGTGGAAAAACAGCCATTCCACTAGGGAATTATCCTTTATTTTGCCTACTTTTTTTGGTGGTGTGTCCCGTGGCTAGGGTTTTCCTGAGAAGGCTGGTTCCAGCTCTGAAATATATACTAACAGTGAACACATCTTAGAAGTTCAGATTAGGCTCAAAGTAGCATCCAAAAGTTTGGACACTTCTCTGACATGTTCAAACCTCTTTGCTTTTCAAATCAGACTGTAAAACACACCCAAAAAAAACCCCCTCTTGATTCGATTTGTGCCTGAAATACCACTAAAAAAAAAAAATAGGCTGTTTTCAGAGATGCTGAAATGCCATGATGTTTCTAAAGCTCAAAAATATTCATATTTTGAGGTAAGTTTCTTAATTTAGCCAAACCATGTTTTATACTGCTGCCCGTCACCATAGTACTGAGAGCTTTCCATGTAAAATTGATAGTCATTCTGAAAGGATTCTAATGCAGGGACAGTTTAAGCACAGCTCCGACTCCTTGCAGAGCCATTCTAGGGGGCTTCCAGGCACAAGGCCCAAAATTCCAAGTGTGACCTCTCTCCCTACATTTGGCCAACTACCCTATGGTGCTAGCTGGAGGTTCCACACCGGGGACATGGGTGGGGAAAATAGTGATTGTTTACAGAAATGGTGAATGCATCTGAGGACTGAGTTAAAATGGGGAAGCTACAACCACACCTGGCTGCTTCAGCAGAGAGACCAGTAGTGAATAGGCATGGAAACTGAACTACCCTTTTCATCAGTGTAGGTGGGTGATCCCTCCAGGTCAGGGGTGAGGCACAATGGTGGGGACAGCCTGCAGTGCTGGAGCTCATGATATTTCTGTTCAGTAGACAGATTTCAGTCACCTGAATTTTAACTATGACACCTTTCACCAGCATTAAGAGCCAAATCCTGCTCTGTGGCCATGGAGGATACAGGTCCTATGACAATGCTTTGCTTTAACAGAGGAAAAGGAGAGAGGCGGGATTTGAACATCTATGCCACCTACCTGCTGCAGTGATCTGCTTTGTGTGGGCTCCCTGTGTCCCAGCAATGCACTACCCATTGTCCCCGAAGAAGGCAGAGTGTACACCAGCCTCGGGCCTAAGCATTGCAGTCCTGAAGCAGCAGTCACAGCTACAGAGCAGCTACGTTACTACTTCATGGCCTAGAGCAGTGGTCTCCAAACTGGGGTGCGCACACCCCTGGGGGTGTGCGAGATGATCCCAGGGGGTGCGCGGCAGCAGGATCGCTGCCAGACGGCACTCTGCCATTTTTGTTCTTCGGTAGAAGCGCTGCATGTCTAGGGCTGGTGTTCCCCTCTGGTGGCCCACCTGTGGCAGGTCTTCCGGTCTTCTTCTGTCAGCAGCACGCCTGCAGCAGGTCTTCCGGGGTGCGTGAGCCAAAAAGTTTGGAGACCACTGGCCTAGAGGGCTGATTCCATGCCCTTCTCCTTGCAGAGATTCTTACAATGCAACCTTGACATACAAGCTGTGCACTACTTCCATGATTTGGTTCTGACTCCATTACTTAAAAGAAAGAAACTCACAGGTGGAATTGTTTTCTTGTATTACATTTGTTGCATATCTATTTTACTGTGTTCTGAGTAATCTTCCATAAATAAAATCCTGCACTGCTTGGCAAAACATCTGTAACTTTTTCAAGTTATAAAACAATTAAGAATGCAAACATCTGGTTCTTGCCTCTGAAATGTAAACATCTGTATAGTTTGCAATGTTTTCAAGAAAAACTGTTAAAGTAAATCAACCTGTTACACACACTCAACCATCAGAGCCTGAGTTTGTCCAAACACCAAGTAAGTGCAAATCTGATGCACTGAATATGAGCTCCAGAGCTCAGACCTGGGGGAGCAGATGTGGTAAGAGGTGAACACCACATATGTTGTTAAAGGGATTCCTCTAGAATAAGCTGTGTACTGGATATTATAGAATCATAGGACTAGAAGGCATCTTGAGAGGTCATCTAGTCCAGTCCCCTGCCTCATGGCAGGACTAAGTATTATCTAGACCATTCCTGACAGGTGTTTGTTTAATCTGCTCTTTAAAATTTCCAATGATGGAGATTCCACAACCTCCCTAGGGGTTATCATGTCCCCAACTGTTATCATGTTCCCTCTCGGTCTTCTCTTTTCCAGACTAAACAAAGCCAGTTTTTTTCAATCTTCCTTCATAGGTCACGTTTTCTGGAACTTTAATCATTTTTGTCGCTCTTCTCTGGATTCTCTCCAGTTTGTCCACATCCTTCTTTAAATGTGGCACCCAGAACTGGACACAATACTCCAGTTGAGGCTTAAACAGTGCAGAGTTGAGTGAAAGAATTATTTCTCATGTCTTGCTTACAACACTCCTGCTAATACAGCCCAGAATGATGTTCGCTTTTTTTGCAACAGCGTTACACTGTTGACTCATATTTAGCTTGTGGTCCACTATGACCCCCAGATCCCTTTCTGCAGTACTCCTTCCTAGGCACTCATTTCCCATTTTGTATGTGTGCAACTGATTGTTCCTTCCTAAATGGAGTACTTTGCATTTGTTCTTCTTGAATTTCATCCTATTTACTTCAGACCATTTCTCCACTTTGTCCAGATCATTTTGAATTTTAATCCTATCTTCCAAAGCACTTGTATCCCCTCCCAGGTTGGTATCATCCGCAAACTTTATAAGTGTACTCTCTATGCCGGGGGCTCAAACACGTGGCCCGCTGGGTTATTTTCTGCAGCCCGCCAGCTCCCCGCAGCCTCCTCCCCGCCTCCCCAGCGTTTACGTAGAACGGCTTCAGCCCTGCATGCATCAGGGGCAGGGCAGGCTCCCTCCCTGCCTGCCCTGCCCCGCACCACTCCGGGAAGTGGCTGGGACCTGGGGGAGGAGGAGGGGGGCCACAGGGGTCTGTGTGTTGCCCTGGCCGCTCTTCCAGGTACCTCCCCCGAAGCGCCCATTGGCCGGGAACGGGGAACCTTGGGCGCTTTGGGGGAGGTACCTAGAGGAGCGGCCAGGAAAACACACAGACCCCTTTGCCCCCCACCCCAGGTTCCAGCTGCTTACCGGAACGGCGCGGGGGCAGGGCGGGCAGGGAGCCTGCCCTGCCCCCAGTGTGCGCCGGGCCGGACCCACCCCCCGAACCCCTCCTGCACCCCGACCCCCTGCCCTGAGCCCCCTGCTGCACTCCGCACCCCTGCCCCGAGCCCCTGCCGCACCCCGCACCCCTCCTGCACTCCCTGGGGGCAGGGAGGAGGCGGAGTTGGGGTGGGGGTTTCAGGGAAGGGGTTGGAATGGAGGCAGGAGTAGGAAAAGGCGGGGCAGGATGGGGCCTCATGGAAGGGGTGGAATGGGGGCGGAGCCGGGGCAGTGGGTGGTGGGGGTGGTCAGTGGTGCGGCCCTCGGACCAATGTACTAGTCCTCATGTGGCCCTCGTGGTCATTTGAGTTTGAGATCCATGCTTTATGCCATTATCTAAATCATTGATGAAGATATTGAACAGAACCAGATCCAGAACTGGTCCCTGCAGGACCCCATTTGTTAAGTCCTTCCAGCATGACTGTGAACCACTGATAACTACTCTCTGGGAATGGTTTTCCAACCAGTTTTGCACCCACCTTATAGTATCTCCATCTAGGTTGCATTTCCCTAGTTTGTTTATGAGAAGGTCATGCGAGACAGTATCAAAAGCTTTACTAAATTATCAATTATCTATTTTTTCGGGATAGATTTGTTAGACTGTTCATAAATTATAAATATTTTAGCATCCATTCTGGCCACTCAGGCAGCTCATTTGAATATAAAACTTATACTTATATAATTTTTGAAACAACCCACCATTTCATTTAGCATCTGCAGATGAGCTGAGTGCCATAAATAAACCAACATGCAAAATCAGGTCTATGAAAAAATTTGCTCATTACAAAATAGCAACCACAGCTGTTAGGGATCCCGGCAGTTTATATATTTTAAAAGAACACATTTCATCAACTATGTTACAAATGATACCTCACTTTACTAAAAGTGAAAGTTTTTTTTTTTAAATTAACTCTTTATTATGTACTCCCTCATTTTGGACAATGAAAATAGATTGTCAGTTTCACATTTTTTAAAGTTAGTTCCAATGAATTTTGCTTTCAGTTTCTTATGTATTAGCTCACGGTTGCAATATTGGGAGGCAATACTGTAGGAGAGTGTTTAAAAGCAATATGATTTATTTTTTTAATATTTGAAAGTTGGCCTTTACCTTGTAAAAATTCCACCATGCAAGAAATGAAGTAGAAAAATCCAGTTCAGCTTCCGAGGATCAGGGCTTTCACAGTCTTCTTTAAACCATTCATAACTAAAAATCTGTACTATTACTGATGACAGACTCCTAAAAACCAGTGTCAAAATACCCAAAGAATATTGTCCCTCACAGAAATAGTTACTAGTGACCCAGATATCTGCTGCAATATCAGCTACATAAATTACAATTCCAAGAACTGACATAGTAAAATTCCACTTAGTTAATTTCATTATGAGTTAGTTTTCCATTATTGTCATTGCGTTATCACTTAATATAAGAAGGAGAAGAAGTCAGAGCATATCTAAATACATTCTTACACCTAGTGATACAACCTTCTCATAATGTTTTCTATAAAGGAAAGCTGTAGTGTATATTTTCAGTATGGAAAATTGAATCAAAATAAAGAGACTTCAATTTTTATGCTCTTTGCTAGAATAATAAACTAATTCCATTGCTACGTGTCCATTCCAGAAAGCGTACGTGTAAACATCTTTTTAATTATGCTGGTAGATGTCATTCTTCCTAGTTTCTGGCTCCTGAAAAGAAGAATAAATGAAGGATCACCAATAACAAGAGCAATAATTCAGAAAAGCATAAAGCCCCCCAGCAATTCACATAATAATTTAAAAGGAAAAGCAAAGTGTATGCGGGATGCTCATGGACAATCACTGGGGAAGATAAATGTCTGACCAGTTGAAATTACTCTCCTGACAGCAGTGATTCTGAACCTTGCCCGGTATGAGTGGAACTTTCTTGTTATAAGTGGATATTTCTAAGTGTAGAGTTAAGAGATGCTAAGAAAGAAGCCCAATACCATGAGCTTTTTAAACCTCAGTTAATGTGGGTAAAGATTGTGACTCCTTCCCAACACTACTCATTAAGACAGAATATTCATGAAAGCCCGCCTTTCTGGACTCTCAAAAGATATAAGAGAGGCAAGTCGGGTAAGGTAATATCTTTTACTGGACCAACTTCTGTTGGTGACAGCACACACTTTTGATCTTACACAGAGCTCTTCTTCAGACCCTTCTTACCTCACCCACCTTGTCTCTCTAATCTCCTGGGACTTACATGGCTACAACACTTTTTTTAAAAATGTCTTCCACAGTCAATAGCTAATCCATGAGAATCTGGGCTTGTTCAAGATACTACCTTCTTCCTCTGCCTCTGAGTGCCCACAAAGAGTGGAGAACAATCATACCTTGAATACACATCATTATACAGCTACACACATTGTGTGATTGGAAGACTTTTCACTGTTTAATGGTTTTATCTTTCACGTTTGTCCATATTCAGTGACTACAAAAGAGTACCCCTTAGGCTACTGAACAGGATCAAGGCTGTTTGCATGAATGATCATTCCTATGAAGGAATCACTAGCCAGACCCTGCTTTACTGTAGAATATGTATCCTTATTATCGGGGGAAGCAGATTACAGTCCCTACATTAAGGTTGCCTAACAATTTCCATAATAATGATTTTTGTGACTTTTTCTTTGACAATCTCACACACCTCTATTGTTTTCAGCAGACCTTTGATATTCAGCAGAGGGAATGTCCTTGAGGGATCAGTCTTGGGACCAATCTTCTTTAACATTTTCATTCATGACCTTGGCACAAAACGTGGGAATGTGCTAACAAAATCTGCAGATGACACAAAGTTGGGAGGTATTGCCAATCCAGAGGAGGACCAGAATATCATACAAGATCTGGAGGACCTTGAAAACTGGAGAAATAGAAATGGGATGAAATTTAATAGTACTAAGTGCAAGGTCATGCACTTAGGGACTAACTAGAATTTTTGCTACAAGCTGGAGACTTCTTAGTTGAAAGCAACAGAAGAGGAGAAAACTTTGGATGTATTGGTTGATCACAGGATGACTATGAGCTACCAATTAAATGTGGCTGTGCATCAGGCGAAGGATTTCCAGTAAAGATAGGGAAGTGTTATTGCCATTATGCCAGGCACTGGTGAGACCTCATCTGGAATACTGTGTGCAAGTCTGGTCTCCCATGTTTAAGGAGATCAATTCAAACTGCAACAGGTGCAGAGAAAGGCTACTAGTATGATCAGAGGAATGGAAAACCTACCTTATGAGAGAAGACTCAAAGAGCTTGGCTTGTTTAGCCTAACCAAACAAAGGCTGAAAGGAGATATGATTGCTCTCTATAAATACATCAGAGGATAAATAGCAGGGAGGGTGAGGCGTTATTTAAGCACCAATGTTTACACAAGAACAAAGTAATATAAACTAGTCATCAACAAGTTTAGGCTTCAAATTAGACAAAGGCTTCTAACCATCAGAGGAGTGAAATTCTGGAACAACCTTCCGAGGGGAGCAGTGGGGGCAAAAAATCTAACCGGTTTCAAGACTGAGCTTGATAAGTTTATGGAGGTGATGGGATGATGAAATTGCCTACAATGGTATGTGGCCCAACCCTCCAGGATTGTCCTGGAGTATCCAGGAATTAAAGATTAAGCTTTAATTAAAGATTATGTCAGGTAATGAAACCTCCAGGAATACGCCCAACCAAAATTGGCAACCCTACCCATTTGCAATTGCTAGTAGCAAAAATCCCCAGTGGTCGGAGATGGGGCACTAGATAGATAGGGCTCTGAGTTACTATAGAGAATTCTTTCCCAGGTGTCTTGCTGGGGGGGTCATGCTGACATGCTCAAGGTTCAACTGATTGCCATATTTCGGATCAGGAAGGAATTTTCCCCCAAGTCAGATTGGCAGAGACCCTGGGATTTTTTTGCCTTCCTCTGCAGCATGGAGCACAGATCACTTGCTGGTTTAAACTAGAGCAAATGGTGAATTCTCTGTAACTTGAAGTCTTTAAACCATGATTTGAGGACTTCAATAACTCAGTCAGAGGTTATGGGTCTATTACAAGAGGATGGCGTGGGGGGGTGGGGGTGGCGGGGCGGGTTTTGTGACTTGAGATGTGCAGGATATCAGACTAGATGATCACAATGGCCCCTTCTGGCCTTAAAGTCTATGAGTCTATGAGCTGTGGAACTGCATTTTCTTTGTCTCATAAAATTCCATTCAGTTTTTGTTGAATTATAAACTGTTAAAAGTCACCAGTTCCCTTCTATTCTCTTACGTGCATGAGTCAGGACATTTTTGGCAGCATACCAAAACAACCAAACATATGAAAATTCCAAAATGTCAGGCTCACACCACAACCAAAGCAGTATCAGACAGACACTTTATGGGGAACACCTGGGGGCAGCCAGCAGAGCTGGGGCAGGAAAGATTGGGAGGAAGAGAGTTGGGCTGGGCTTGCTTTGGATTTTTGTGATTTTTGGACACCTGCCCACTAAGAAGTGAACTGAGACCATTAGCTAATATGACATAGACCACAAGAAAGATTGTGACAATTCTTAATTGATATTGACCAGACCAAATTTTGA